TGTTTTCGCAATTTGGTCATATTGGCAGGAAGACCTAGAGAAATGTACATTCTCCAGAGTTCATAGTATGCATGATCACTTCCAGTCGGACCGTGAACGTGGTACATTCCCAGACGTTTCGCCAGCATCCCAAATGAAACCAATTCTTTGATCAAATGTGCCAAACACTTGTGGTATCTTTCCTGTCCTGGGCTATTCACCTTCCTATATCCTTGTATCACAATTTTTGCTTGCACATTTAAATCTAGTGTGGTGTGCCCTAGTGAGCGGCATTCATGAAAACCCTTCTCACCGCTTTCACCCTTGTGCTGGGAATGTTGATCAGGATCTGCCATATTGTTACGCAGTCCTCCTTCCCTACGTCTTATCACAGCCTCCCTCTTGCCCCGTAGGAGCCGTCTGCTATCTCCCTGGTTCAAGTATTTCACTCGACCCCTGCCACCCCATATGTGCTCCACAAGGCGTTATTTCCCACACTCTGAGCTGGGAGACTAACTCGAGGCTAAACCCTCCGAGCAATTCTCATGGTGAAGCCTTTGCTTGGTGGACCACGTCTATGGTAAAACAGGCCTAGTGTCCGCTAGCTAGCTCGTCTTCGCTGCGTCTATCCGTAATGCCAAGTCTATCACTTCCTATGCCCTAGTCTCTTGTATACCAACCCACAAATGTTGTGGTAATGTTTGATTTGATTAGGTTCAATGTTGAACCACAGCATTTGTGGGTTGGCGTACAAGAGACTAAGGCATATGACATAATAGAATTGGCATTAGGGATAGAAACAGGATAGATGCGGTGGGGACTTGAATAAATTTTCTCAACAAGCCATATTGACAAGGCTAAGTAAGCTCATTATGAAACCCCAGCAGATTTATCAGATTTCCACTGAGTTGTCTAAAAGTAAGAAGCTTTATGATAAGCCCAAGCAACCATCAGACTTAGAAGTGAATAAGAGATGATTTATTTTCCCCAACCTTGCTTAATAGTCATTGCCTATGAATTGCTACAGTTTTGCGACACGCGATTTCGCTATGCGCCATGGAGGAGCCACTTAACTACGATAGATCAGTAGTGCTTTGCAGACCCACCACAAAGCTGGCCTTTATTCCAACCTCATATCCAATGTGCAAAGCCTCTTTCGGATGTCTATCAACAATGCGGTTAAAATGGGATAGAGGGCATCCGATATGATGAAATCCAATCAGTGTTATGAATATGCCAGAAGGCAGATCAGGCCCCTACCAACTCAAGGAGCTAGTCGAACCATGCGTTTATTAGCAAGTAAAATAGGTAGACTGGTAAATTAAGTTTGCTCCCAGCCGTCTAGGTTCACCTTTGCTTATCATCATGCACACTAAATACATAAATTATATACAAATTCTAATTTGCTTTAATAATACGATAGCATAAGCAGACAAATTGGCATAGGCACGTGCAAACGGATACAGATAAGCAGAAGAGAAGGCCAGCGAGGGTAGCAATAATATAAACGTGTTTAAAAAGCAAAGTACAGGAAAAATGCAAGTGTTTCTGTAGGTAGCATAAAAATAAAAAGCGAAAAGGAGACATTTTCACTTTGAAGTTTATTTGAAAGATATGTACTATAAAAATTGATAACTTTCGATACATGTATGGATAGAAGGAGATGCAATAAATTTTGTCCCAAAATTATATGTGATCATCTCATAATTTGGAACAATAAAGTAGAAATAAAAATAGCATAGAAGGCATGGTACCAAACATTACTTCAAATAAAGTAAAGTCAAACAAATTTTGGAATATGGATTGTACAAATCATTTAATACTGTAAATTAGAATCCTGTTCAAGAATATTTAGAATTATTTGCCCCAGTGAAGATGAATGTAATAAGCCCTCAGCTACCAAGAACATGTTGTTCCAGGGTTACCATAGAGAGATGGCTCAGTGATGGGGAAAAGAAGACAAGCCCAAACGAGAAGGCCGAGCGCGTACGAAGTAAGTGCCAAGACAGTACCATGGCGAGAAATGGCTTCTGAGATATTAGGAAACCCGAAAAAGTTGCATACCATATGAGCTGAGATTGAGGCGACCACAGAACCTGAAAAAAATAAAGAAGAAGAAAATTAATGTGATATTTAATAAATACAAAGTGAAGCAGTGTGAAAATAATGAGAAGTGCTAAAGGATAAACGACATGATTTACTTAGCTATTACTAGTTTTTAATTAAACTAATTTTAACGAATTTTCCAATTAAAAAATATATAAGTAAGAAAACTAGGCAAGATGAATCAAAACAAATAAACGAGACGATGTTTACCTATACAGTATAAAAGGCGCCGTATGCTAAATATAAGCCACAAATAGACTAAGCCATAGTCAAGTATGATCGTAGCAACCAGACCTACCATCTTCATGATGAAAATTATCGAAAAATGCCTTGCGTTCCAAAAAGTGAATACATTCTCGAGGTTTCATCTGTTTCCTAGGGACTTTTTGTTACACTGCTTTCAATACGGTATGGCAAACTATAATAGTCGAAATCCTTAAGATTAATTAAAGTAAGAGCTGAAATTCGCTATTAAATTTTAGCCATCTCAAATAAGCGCTTCCATGGAGATGGATTGCAGTTTCAATATCGAGTGGATTTCAAGAACACCCTAAACAAGATTTTAAATGTCGATCCGCGAAGCTGAAAGCAAGCACATTGTCATGTAAAACACGAGACGAGCATAATTGAGTTACGATGCGATTGTGCCATCTTTAAAATGAAACTAGTCCTGCGGTCTAATAAATAAAAGTTTTGAGCAAACCTGAACGGTTTATCTAGAATCTCTATTGATATGATGATTTAGCACAAGAGAGGATAAAACTACAGTCCAGAGATATCTTAGAAGACTTATTCAGGATTCACGTCAGATCATGTATCAGAACCTACCAGAAACCAATGAAAATGAAAAGAAGGTTGAGACTAGGCGAGTCACACTATACCAATTATAAAAATTAGCCTTAGCGAACTCGGTAAAAAGGGAAGCAAAATGAATTAAATTACTGCCCTCATAGCAAAAATTCTATAATATAAAATGTAAACACTTTTTGGGGACACTTAACCAATAAAATGACTACAAAATTGCCAGAAAATTTTCTAACAACGTTTATGTAGCAAAAAAGAGAATAAGATGAGTTAAACGCGAATGCGCTCACCTGTTCGAAGCAGAAGAAATGATGAATAAACCCCAAAAGTGAGAGTATACAAGAATTGCAGAACTAAAAGTTATTTAAAAAAGGTTTAAAAACAAGATAAATTTACGTCAAATCAAAATAATGCTCAAATAAAATCAACTTGACAACGTTTAGAATAAGTCAA